GAAGAAGCGCGTCCTTGAGCGCCTCGTCCGTTAAATAGGTTAGCACTTTGTATCCTTGTACAATTGAATCGAATTTATTGATGGAAATCATCTCAGTTTGCATTTTGGCAGGCAGATGTCGATGTATCCTATCTATTCCTTCGACAACGGATAATGCATTTGTGGTCGATTGCATCGATTGGATATTTCGGCTCTATGAGATAAACTATACTGTGGCCCAACGCTGCCGGTAATGGGAATATCCAGCCCCATCTGGTATTGAGGTCGCAGAGGAGAAATTCCTCGACTGAGTCAGGGAAAGCAATGCAATGACGGAGCCTACCGCAGGAAGGGCGGGCAATTGATTGCCACCAAATTGCGTTTGGGCTGGCGACGGTCATGTCGAGCGGCCGTCTTCCGCCTGAGGGGCCGAGCCAAGAGAAAAACAAGCGTTTCAAAGCCGCCCAATACGTCGTGCTTGAGAGATACCTCGCTCAAGGTGTCACTTCCACAGCGCGCGACGCGGCGCTGCGCCAGTGTATAGCTCAAGAGATTCAAGCCCAGCCCGATCGTGTGCACGTATGTTCCCATGGTTCCGCACGCGATGACGATCTCATGTAATGTGTCACTAGAACTGGTTCAAGAACGAGCACCAGAAGAAGAAGAAGCAAGAACGTGCCGCACGGCCAACGACAGTCGAGAACGCCGCGTCGGCCACCACCAACGACCCTGCTGCCCCAACGTTGGTCGTCAATAGAGAGATTTTGCAAAAGTGCCGTGCCGCTGCCAGAAAAAAAACTTCCGAGAAATAATGCGTGTGCGGCACACCTGTGACATTCGATCATGCAAATCCGATGCCGCAGCAATTCTTCGGTCATTGCTGCCGTAGCCAGCAAACACTTTCGACGCCTTTTTACGAAGTATTTTTATTCAGTTTTGCGCTTGTTTTATTTAATTGCGCGCGCGGTCATTTCACGATGTCATCTGACGCGGGCACGGCGGAGACAACAGACGCGGGCACGACGGAGACAAATGACTCGGGCACGACGGAGACAACAAGGCGGCGCAACTGGAACGACGAAGAGGACGTCATGTTACTGCGACAGATCTCAGCCGACCGCCCGTTCGCCCAACATCACGGCCGGCTTCGTATGGCATGGGCAAAGGTAGCTAATACGCTCATGTCATGCGAGGAGTTTACTCGCGAAGTCGATGCCAAGAAGATCCAGAACCGCTTCAGCGCCCTCCTCGAAGCCCACAAAGCATTCAACAAAGGGTCTGCTGCGAAGTCGGGTGTGGACGAGGACGAAACGGAGAAGATCATGCTACTTGACGACCTGACCCAGCAATACGCGGAAGCAAAGGCCAAGGCGGCAGAGCTTATCGAAGAAAAGAAGGCCAAGAACAACGAGTCCGAGACCGTCGGCCAACTCGTTCGCGACCGTGCCATGACGACGTGCACCAAGCGCAAGGCCGAGGATCCTCCCGCACGACGAAACGCCGACACGGGTGTGCTCGAGTTCTTGAAGCGTGAGTCCGACAACGCCAAGGAGTTCCAAGCCGAATCGCTCAAGCTCCAGCGCCTCCATTTTGAGGCAGACTTAGCCGAGCGCCGACGGGAACGCAACGACCTTCGAGAAGAGCGCCAGCGCCAACGAGAGGACGATGAGCGACGGCGTCGCGAAGAGCGTGAGGAAGCACGCGCCGAGCGAAAGGCCGTCGAGCGTCGTGAGGAGCGTCGGTACCAGCTGCACTTAGCAGAATTAGAGACGCGGAAGCTCGAACTGGAGATGATGCTTAAGCGGCAGGGATAAACTCGACTGAACACGACGTTTCAAAGCATGAATTTCGTCCATTATATCGTTAACGGGACAAGTATTCTTCAAGTGTCGGAGGCACCAGACCAAAGTAGTCCGAGGTTTGATTACCGCCGTAATAGCAGCAGTTGAGGTTAGTGAGGAACATCGCGACCTTGACAATCTTGCCGACGGGACTAAGCATGATCTTTTGTTGCGGTGTGAACTGGAGGCTTGCCCATAGCGTCTTCATGCGACCGAAGTTCCACTCGACCGACTGGCGCACTTGGCTCATGCTGCGGTTGAACTCCTTCTTTTGCCAGTTGACGTTGTTGCCCTTGTAGCCGACCATGACCCAGTTGGAGATCCCGTACGCCGGGTCGCCGTAGATCATGAAGTCGTTTAACGTTTGAGGTCGGCCTTCGACGGTGCGGATTTGACCTCGCTCTTCTTCATCCGCGTCCTCGCCGTCCGCGCCTTCTTCAAACGTCAGAGATTGGCCTTCAAAGAACTGGAGGAGCTTGCTGAAGCGCATCACCGTCGTGTCATGGCGTCGTCCTTCAACGGGGCCGTACACGTGGATGCAAAGCCCGTCGGGGGCCGTAAGGCCTTGGTAAACGAGGCAGTGGCGACGCTTGTGGCCGCTGTAGATCAACCGTTGCAGATTCATGTCGGGCTCTGGTGCCGAGGCTGCCGAGATACGACACGTCGGGACCTTGGTGCCGTCGACGAACGCAAAGACATTTGTGGTCGGAGCGCCGCGGCGATGAATCGCCTCCGCGTACGCTTGGATACGCTGGCGGTCGACGACCTTGGCAAAGTAGATGATATCCCACCATGTCCTGTAGATCAGATCCACGACGTAGTAAAAGATCCGACAGAGTTGCGGACGAGAACGACCGAACGTACTCATCATGTCGTAGTACGTCGTTGGAAACCTCAACCGATACAGAACGATGCAAAGTGATTCGTCACCTAGCACGCGGTACCGGTCCACCGTTACGATGACGTGGGGGATACCAAGTTGCGTTCTCAGGCGTTGAATGCCGTCGACATCGAACCGAAAGGAAAGGACAGCGTCGGCGTCGCTCATCTCTAGGAGTTTGAAGCGGACGTCGGGAACCAGAGGTCGCTCTACAGAGCGGGACAAAAGCACTGCGAGCGCCATACGAGCATACGGCTTATCGCGGTTCTTCCGATACCACCGCAGCAGCAAGAGGTGCATGGGCTTCATCTGCGCGCGAAATCAAACTGATGTCCCCGGATAAGTAATTCATTATCCGGATGATCAGCTGGCAGGGCAAATGGTTGGTTTGCAAAATCACAATTCTGGTTTGCCAGGCCCTTGGCACTCCTGAAAATTTGCGACAATCGGAGGAATGGCAACGGTACGACACGATTTGCAAAATCTCTCTAATGCCGCGTCGGCCACCACCAACGA